GGGGGGGAGGATCAGCGCACGCACCGCCGGGCCTGGGTGAGGGCATTCCGTGCCTCAGCTAGATCCTGCTGCAGCTGGGCAATCTGCTCATCCTTGCGGGCGACATCGGGGTTGTCGCTGGACAGCTTCTGCACATCAGCCTCCAGACTGCTGATGCGGCTTTCGGCCACTGCGAGCTTGTCCTGGAGCTTATCGCGCTCATTCTACAGAGGGAGGGTTGGCGTTAGAGAGGGCCCGGAGAGCGGAGGAAGATGAAAAGGCAGAAGAGAATGAGGGTGCACGGGGACCGGAGAGAAAAAAAGGAGGAAGAAAGAGCCCGAGAAGCCGTGGTGTGCGGGCGTGCTCGTGCAGCTGTGAACGAACCCGAAGTGTCTCAAGCTGTGCATCAGATGAGGCAATATCCTCATTGAGGCCGGTGATGGTGGCGTACGCGCGGCTGTGGTCCTTCTCAGCGTCGGCGCGGACCTCCGCCACGCGGACCTCGGCTGCCAGAGAGGAGGCAGGGACAAGGCACCATGTTAGTTGGAGATAAATTGCAGGAGGAGAAGGGAGACAAGAGGAAAGAGGCCACGGAGGGGCAATAGGCCGAGCAGAAGGAAGAGCAGGAAGAAAGAAAGGACAGGAGAAAGAGGATCCCCCCCCCCCCCCCGTCCGCCCATGGCCCGAATACGCACCCTCCTCCTCCAACTCGGAGATAACACGGTTGGCATGCACGCGCAGCGGCCGGGCCCAGATGTGGTCCGCCCGCAGGGCCAGCTGCATCATCACCAGGGTGTACAGGGAAGGATCAGCGGCCTTGACGCTGTTGACCAGCTGGTCCACAACCTTCTTGGTGTTCTCCACAATATGGTCCAAGGAGAAGTCCTGCGGGCGTGTGCGGAACAGTACACGTAAGCATATGTATAAACACATACATACATACATATATATATATGTGTGTGTGTGTGTGAGTTTGCGAGTTTGTGCGTGTGTGCATGGCGAGGCGAGCAAAAGGAGGCAAGGCGGGCAGGGGCAATCGACCGAGGGCAGGGGCTGCCGGCATGTGGGAGGCCGGGCAAGGACGAAGAGGGGGGGGGGGAAGAAAGCGGCGAAAGGATGACAAAGACCCGGCGGACCCCCTGCGGGCAGCCTGGTGACGCACTTCCGAGTCACTATCCAACAGGCTGGTGACCTTGCTGACCAGGCGGTCGACCATGGCCTCGGCACGCGACTCGTTGCGGCTCTGGGCAATGTGCAGGGCCTCGGCCGCGCGCTTGGTAATGTGCTGCTCCAGCTTGTCGGAGCACACCTTGGCCGCGGGAGCCGAGGATGAGGTGAGCGGATTCGACTGGAAGACGAAGAAGGCGCGCTCGCGCAGACCAGCCAGGCTGGCCTCGCTGATGAGCGGGGTGTTGGTCGAGTCCAGCGGCGCCTGGGAGTCCTTCCGAAGAAGGGCATCGAGGCTGTCTCCCCAGCCGGCGTTCGGTCGGTCCCGGGTAGCTCCTTTCACTTCCTCTTGCTCCTTCTCCCTGATATTCCCTTGTTCTGCTTCGCCCCCTTTCCTCCCGGCCCTTTTCTCGAGCCTGGCCACAACGGGCGCGCGCGCGCGCATCCATGCGTCCACACGCCTGCATCGAGGAACAAAATAACACCGCGATCGGGGAAACGGCACGCACTCATCGTCATAGGCCTGAATGGCCTGGGACAGGGCGCGATTACACTCGTTCTCGCACACCTCATCCCAGGCAGATCCGATGGCCGGCGCGGCACCAGCATTCAGCGCGTCGCAGTACGCCTCGGCCAGGGTTGAAAGCACTGAGCAGGGGGCCGAGAAAAGCAAGTCAGACAGCGTGCACCATGATGTGCCGGTACATGCGCGCAGCCACGTCCACAAATGGACCAAACGCACTGGGGCCGGTGACACCCGAGCCATTGACCTGCTTCGGGGAGAGGTGGCTCCACACGAAGGCCTTCATCTGCTCCACGTCACTGATGAACTCCGGCCGAAGGTTGAGCCCGGCGAGCCCGGCTCCGGCGGCAGATAGGGCCTCGGAGATGGCCTGGAGGTCCTCCTCATCATGCGCCGGCCGGCGCATGGTCAGGCAGGAGCTGTCCGACAGGCAGGAGGGTGAGTGGGCCGTGCGTGTGCGTGTGCGTGTGCGTGTGCGTGCGCGTGTCTGCGGATGGGGGAGAGTCCAGGGAGCGGCGATATCAAGCCAGGGGAAAGACGCACCGCTCCTTGAAGGCACCAGTGATGGCAGTCCGGATGACATTTCGCGAGCGGGTGCGGTCGGAATCGCCCTGTGCCAGTCGGGTGGCAGGGAGGTGGTCAGAGAGGGATTTGACAGGAGGAATCCATGGAGACGAGGGCAGCGCCAATGCCCGCGCCGAGGCCGCGTACCTGGATCGGAGCCAGAGCACGCTCGAGGTATTCATTGGTGGTGAGGCGCTCCCCGCCAGCTTCCAGCTCGAGGCTGAAGTCGCGCGCCAGCCAGAGAAAGCGCGGGAAATACATGGCCAGCCGGCGTTGGCGACGCTGCGGACACCACAGACGCAGGAGTGTCAGTCCCGAGGCAGACGGGGAGCCTCAGCAGCAGGGGCGGCACCATGCGAGCCAGAACACTCGTAACGTACGCGCTCATCGAAGGAGACCTCGCTGCCGGATCCGGCACCAACGGCCGTCTGGACCGAGGTCTCGGGCTCGGTGGAGTTCACCCGAACGGCCCGGGCCACCGCCGTGGCCGCAGCCAGCGAGCTAAGCGCGTCGTCATCGATCGGGCCCGAGGCATTGTAGATGAGGAAGGATGACAGCAGGGTGGCCAGGGCGAAGAGCTTGGCATCGTAGGAGGCCGACTTGGTGTAGGATGACAGGCCCTGTGGGTATGGGTTTTTTTTTTCACGTCGTCAGATGAGGTGGTCCCAGTCAGCATGGCTGTCCATTGGACACCACACACACATGCAGGGGGGAAGCACGCTCGGGGTACGCACCTCAGTGTCAAGCAGCAGGCACATGCCACCAGTTTCGGGGTTCCGCGCGAATTGCATCCAAATGCCGGAAGTGCAGGGCTCTGTCATTTCGGTGGTGTATGAAGACCCGGGGGGGGGGGGGGGGGAGGGGGTCAGCGAAGCTCCCCAGATGGACAGGGCGACAGGGGGAGAAGGTGGGCGAGGGAAAAGACCCGAGGAGGGGGCACAAGCATGCATGTCAAGAGGCGTACCGATGGTTGCACCAACCGGGAAGCCGCCGCGATCGATTCCAGAGAGCTGGTTCATGATGAAGCTCTTGCCCGTGCGGTACACACCGGTGATGGCAATGACCGGCAGCGGCTGGCTGGAGGCATACTGAGCCAGCAACTCAATGGCATCTTCCTCCACGCGGAAGCTTGGTGCGGTGGGGGGCAGGGGAGACAGGCAAGTTAGCATTGGATGGCACATATACATCCGGGGGGGGGGGGGGGGGCGAAAAAGAAAGAGGCAGCCCACGCACTGGGTGTCGCCAGAGTCGTCATCATCCCCCTGAGGGTGAGCGGAGATCAGGAGGACGGGAGTGGTGGGGTAGTCATCGTCAAGGCTGCCAACCATGGTGGATGCGGTCTGGGAGCGAGGGGCAAAACCGATGGTGGTGGCGGCGGGGCGCGCGCGCGTGTGTGTGTGTGTGTGTATGTGTGAGAGAGTGCACGGGCGGCAGGCGAGGGGGAGGCGAGGGGGGATGAGGAGGGTACCAGCACAGTACCCCCTCGCCACGGCCGCCTTTGGACGTCGGCCACGAGAGCTCCCCGAGCCGGCTTTGGGGACCCCTCGGGCCGGGTGGACGGGGGAAGGAGCTACCTTGTCCGGTCGATCTGCCCTCCGCGCCGTGTGTCAATCGATCGCCGGCTGGCCAAGAGGCCCCCGGTCAGCCTGCCGATGCGCGATATCGGGGGCGCGGGTGTGGGTAGGAGGGGGGGGGGGGGGGCGGGGATGTCTCGTTGCACAACGGTGGCCGGGCTGACCGGCCTCGCCGCCCAGGTGGGAGGGTCATTTGCGGCGCGGTCGTCCTGGGCGGGTGTGAGCCCACCGGACAAGGGCTCACCCTGGGCGCCGAAGGAAAAAAAAAAGGGGCCATTCCAACCGTGGGAGGACCCGGAGAAAAAGGGCGGGAAGCACTCCGGAAGTCGGGCCGGGCACTGGCGACAATCCATGGCCACAAATTCCTCCGGCAATTCCTGATCGGCGCGGGGGGAGGGGCACAAACACACGGCCCGGGGCACTCTTCCACCCTCCGGGACCCATCCCCGGCCCGCGCGTGTGTGTGTGTGTGCATGTGTGTGTGGGGGGGGGGGGGGGGGGGGGCGAGAGAAAACAGCGCACAGGTCCGGCCTCGAAGCCGCCCGGAAAGTTGGCACCAAACCCCCCGTCCGTTGTCTCACAGCGCCAAGACCAAAAATGCGGCGAAAGGAAGAAAAAAAAAAAAGAGCAGGGGAGGGGCCCGAGACGGAGACACATTTCGCATGGGCGTGCGCGTGTATATTTGTGTGTGCAAAAAAGGAGAGAGAGAGAGAGAGAGAGAGAGAGAAGGAGACATTGGCAGAAGGGCAAACGGAAAAAAGGGGGACCGGGGAGAGAGGCAAGGCAGGAGGGCAGAGCGAGAGAGAGAGAGCACTCTGCCCGAGCCACGAGCCGGCATGCATGTGCCTTTTGTCAGGAGGAGGAGGAGGAGCGGGAGGGGAGCGGGAGCGCGGCCATCCCTCAGATGTAGATGGTATGCACGTCATTGGCGCCAAAGCGGGCGCCGCAGGCTGGGCAGCCGCGCTGCCGCGTGGACACCCGGGTGTCCAGGCACGAGCGACAGAAGCAGTGGAAGCACTGGGTGATGACGGCATTCTTGTCATTACGCATGCATACGCCGCACTTCATCAGAGTTCGGTACGATTGCAGCTCCTTCTTCAGGGAGGACAGCTCGTCCTCATCGTGATGGCCCAGGCCCGACCCTCCGAGGCCGGCCAAGTTTGTGCCAGATGCGCTGGCCAGCGAAGAGGACGCGGCAGCGGCGTTGGCCGCGGCATTGGCCGCCGTCAGGGCCGCCGACAGACCGCGCTCGCGGCGCCGGAGCAGAGTCACCTCCTCATCCAAACGCCGCGCGCGCTGGGCCTCGCGCTCGGACTTGGTCAAGTACTTGTCGATGGAACTCTCAAGCTGCGCGTGTTGCGGCGCCAGGAAGAGCACAGTCAGGAGGCCGTGTACGCGAGAAGGAGCCCAAGCAGACAGTCGGCATGGCGCCGCCCCCCCCCCCCCCCCCCCCCCCCCCCCCCCCCCCCCCAGGGCAAAAGGGCCAGGTCGTGATGGAGAAAAGCAAGGGAAACGGCCAGGCGACCGAACACGCACGAACTGCACCCGGTCGGCATTCTTCTGCTGCTGCGTCGAGTACTCGGTCAGGGTGAGCGCCGTCTCGGCGGCGTGGCGCCGGTGCGCCTCGGTGGCCAAGCGCAAGGCCACCGCTTCGAACTCGAAGCAAGCCAGCTGCTGGCGCATGGACTTCTCCAGAGACTCGGCCTTGCGCATGTGCTCCTCCACCGTGCGCGCCACGCGGTCCAGCGGGGCCACCTTGGCATACAGGAGCTCGCGCGTCCGGTTGATGGAGGTCATCTGCTGCTGCGAGCGGATCTTGTCATTGTAAAGCCGGTTGTTGGCATCATCCAGCTCGGACATATTCCCCAGCAGGCTGCGCTGCCGCTCCTGCAGGGCCTGATACGCGGCGGCCAGCTGCGACAGCTCCTGCAGCAGATCCCCATCCAGCCCGGGCAGGGCCGAGACCGAGCCGCCGCTCCCGAGCCCGGCCCCCGAAGAGGAGGACGTCCCATCCTCGGACTTGACGCTCGAACCGCGGGCCACCTCCCCGAGCACCTCGCTCGCGGCCAGGGACGCCTGCAGCGTGGTGGCCAGTTCCCGGGTGGAAACCGGCTCACTTTGGCACAGCCGCGACACGACCCGCGTCAGCATGGTATTCACATGGGCCAGGGACTCGGCCAGCTCCCCCTGTTGGGCCGACGAATTCTCGGCCGACTGGGCCCGGGACTTTTGGGCCTCCAGCAGCCCGCGCAGGTGATCGCGCTCCACCCGCAGCCGGAGGGACTCCTTCTCGATGGAGCGGATTTCATGCTTCAGCGCCTCCCGGCGCTCGAGCTCATCATGCGCGAAGCGCTCATTGTGCTCGCGGCGCTTGGCCTGCACATCGTTCTCCGATGCCAGGGCCGTGGCCAGGGCATTGCGTGCCTCGGTGGCGTGCGCCGCCAGCACGGCCGCATGCGCCGCCAGCCGCCGGTACGTCGGGGTGGCGGTGATGACATCGTCCGGCAGCTCGGCCAGATCCGCCTGCAGCTTCACCTGCATGCGCTGGAGATCCAGCTTCTCGCTGCGCAGCTGCTCCGCCTCGGCCAGGCGCAAATCGGCCAGTTCGCGCGCGGCGGCCAGCTCCTCCGAAGCCTGCAATGCGGCGCCGGCGTCGACGGCCGCCCCGGCCGCCGGGGCTCCGCCAGCGCCAGATGCCCCATTGGTGGTGACAGCGCTGCCGGCCCCGGGGGTGGCATTGGCGGCCGTCGGGTCGCCGGTCGGCGATCCGGCCGGGCCGGGCCCGCCGACGGGGACCTCCGGCTGGCCGGAGGCCACGGCCAGGGCCGCAGCCGAGGCCGCCACGGCCCCGGCCTCACCCAAGGCCCCGGCCTTGAGGGATTGCTCCAGGCGAGCTACCCGCCGGGAAGTTAGCTCCACCTGGTCCCGCGCGTCCTCGTACTTGGACAGGGCCGTGCGGGCCTGGAAGCGGGAGAAGTGCGCATCGGCCGCGGCCATCGACATGGCGGCCAGGGTGGTGCGCTGGCGGGCGGTCAATTCGGCGATCAGGGTATCCGCCGCAGAGGGGGCCGGCCCGGCGGTGAAGCTGCCTCGCCCGGCCTGCAGCAGCAGATCCGAGAGCCGGCGCCACGGGGTCAGCAGCTGCTCCCGGTGATCCGGCAGCAGAGCAGTCTCAGGCTGGAGCGGGTCCGCCAGCCCGGGCAGCCCGAGAATGCTGTCCCCGAGTTTCCCCGACCCGGAAGCCCCCGGCTGGGCGTCATTTTCGTCATCGTCACCGTCGTCAGCCGACCCGATGCCCGACTGCCGAGCGATGAGTCGCCGGGCCTCTTCGCGCTGCTCCGCCGAGAAGGGAATCACCGGCCCCAGGAGGGCATCAAGCATCGAGGGGACTGGTGGGGCGTCAGTACGGACGAGGCGAGCCCAGCGGCGAGGCCGGTTACAGGGCCGGCAATGCGGGGCGGCGGTGGCGTACGTTGAGAGATAGCTTGGAAGCTCTGAAGGGCACTGGACGAGACGGAAGTCGAGTCGGAGAGGAACTGCGACAGCTGGAGGATAATGGTGTTGACGTCGGAGATGGACTGCGCGTCGTGTGTGTGTGTGTGTGTGTGTGTGTGTGTGTGTGTGTGAGTGCAGGAGCCCGAGGACCGAAGTGTTGGGGGAAAAATGCTTCGGAGCCCAGCCGAGTCGGCTTCGAGACAGATGCGGTGAGCGCGCGCACGCACCTGCTTCCATGCGGCGTCAATGCTGGCCAGCGTACGCGCAGATTCGGCGGCAGATAGCTCGGACAGCCGGGCGCGGCGCTCGGCCTCCACGCGCAGTGCCCGCTCCGCATGTAGCTGGCGGAAGAGCGAGTCCCGCTGCCAGGAGAGCGTAACCGTCTGGATCTACATGGGTGCATGGATGGTGTGCGTCAGTTGGTGGCCAATGCGACGGGGAGACAGGGCGATGGACAGAGGCGAACCTGCGTCAGGGACTCATCCACCTGGGTGGGCTCGCGCGGGATGTCGGCCACAGGCAGGGTGGCGGCGCGTTTGCCGGGAGGATTGTCCGCTGCTCGGGCGGGGTCCGGCTGGCGCTTCCGCGACGGTGACGACGTCGCCGGGTCGGCGGCCATGGTGGGGCTAGAAAAGGGGGCGCACGATCCAGCGAAGCGGACAGGCAGGAGGGCGAGCGAAGGGAGGGAGGGAGGGAGGCAGGGAGGAGGGGCGGGAGAGAGGTACAGGTGTAGGTGCGAGACGAGGGACAAAATGGCACGGCTGGCGAGATAGGGGGAGGGGATATACCGCGAGCCCGGGGCTCGCCCCGGACAGCCCAGCGCCCGGCCCCTGAAAAGACGGCCGACCACCGCGGACCGGCCTGCCCTGGCGGGGAGGTTCCCGCTGCCTCCCGCGGAGAGCGCGCCTCACCGGCCCCCATGCCCGAGAGGCGCTTCGTGCGCACACACGCACACAGGCCGGCATTCGCCGCCTGGATGCGGCACCGGCGCCGAGCGGCACCCACGAACAAGGGCCAATCGCCGGCACCAACGGGCACCAACAGGCCACCCACACGCATATGTGCCCACGCACATGCAAACACGGCACGCCCCCCGGGAGCCGGGAGGCCGGTGCGTAGGTGGCAAATGCGTAGACATCACGTGCCCAGGACCCATAGAACGGAGGTGCTGGTCATTCATATGCCCACGGATGGACAGGTGTGTAGATTCTATTCCGCCAGAGCGGGGCGCCAGGACAAGGGAGGGGGGGGGGGGGGGGAGAAAGAGAGGGAGGGAACAAAGAGGGGAAGAGTGCGGAGGATGGGCGGCCGCGGGCATGTGGGGCTGCCGGCCACCCTCGCCCTTGCCCCCCCTTCATCGGGGCCCCGGCTCCTTAGAAGGGCTGGTAGGGGTCGGCCGTTCCAGGGAGAAGGGGCTCGGCCGCGGTGCCGGCCGAGGGGTGTGGACCGACGCCGGCCGCGGCCGCGGCAGCCGCCTGCCGCGAGATGTTTTGGCTGTTGGCCAGGGCCTGTTGTTCGATGCGCTTGGCGATGCCCTCCAGGAGTTGGGACCGACCAACCGGGTCGGTTTCCTCGGCCAACTCCAGCCAGTCGTATGGCTGGAAGTGATGCACCAGTGGCCGCATGATGTCGTACTCCTGCTGCGAGAGGGGCAGCTCGGCAGGGACATCCTCCGGCAGGGCCGGAGTGCGCAGGGTGCCCCGCCGGCTGCGTGAGGCCCCCCCACCGGGGACCCCACCGGCCAGCCCGCCGGAAGCCCCGGCCGGCCGGGAGCCAGCGCCGCCACCGCCGGTTGTGGTGGCCGCGGTGGCTGCGGCCGCGGCCGCCACCGCCGTCGGGCCCAGGTACGTCCCCTCGTCCTCATCGAAATAGTCGTCATTGTCGTCGAAGCGCAGATCCTGGTCGGCCCCGGAGTAGGAAGATCCACCGAACTTCCCATGGAAGGTTTCCTCCTCGCCGAAGAGCGGACTGCTAAAGCGATTGGCCGTGGTGGCGATGGAGGCAATGTACTCGGCCGTGACCAGCGGGTGAATGGCGTCCACGTGGGTGGCCTGGCCGTTCGGGCCGCCGTCCATCAGGCTGGCAGCATCCTCGGAGTCGGTCTTGCGCTTGCGCAGGCAAATCCAAATGACCAGAGCCATGATCATCAGCAGGATGACCGACAGGGGGATGATGAAGATGAGGAAGTCCACCAGGGCTGAAGGGTGCGTGCGTGCGTGCGTGCGTGCGTGCGTGCGTGCGTGGAGAGGGTCAGGATGCGCGAAGGACGAGGGAGGGAGAGGGGGGGGGGCGGAGGTAGCATCGCCTGGCCAATTGGGCACGCACTCAGGGGAGTAGGCTCCAGGATGAAGAAGGAGCTCCGGCAGCCGGTGGCACCGGCCGAGCACTGGCATGTCCCGGCGTCGCTGCAATACCAATCGGACACCACGCCAGCGAAGCAGGCGTAAATCGAGTCACAGGCAACGGGCTCTACGACGGGGCACACGGAGGAGGGCGACAGGGTAAGCAGCAGGACCACAAAGGGATCAGGCGGAGAGCCGCGCGCGTGTGCATGTGTGTCCATGCGCGAGAGAAGGCGGTGTGGCCGCGCACCCATGAAACGGTAGCTGATTTCCAACTCGGACACGGTGCGGTTGGACCGGCCATGGAAGTTGATGGTCAGGGCCTTGGCATTCACGTAGAAGGTCTCCGTGTTGGCCGACATGACAGCATAGTTGATCTGGCGACCCAGGTGATTGGAGAAGAGGATAATGTCGCTTTGCTGTTGGGGGGGGGGACGAGGGAGAGACAAATGGCGAGGGGATAAGTGGACAGGACAAGGGCGGCCAGCACCCGAGAGAGAGAGAGAGAGAGGGAGAGATAGAGAGAGAGGGAGGCGCATGGAGTCGTCAGTCGAGGCCTGGCAGCGGAAAAGAAAGAAAGGACGACCGCCCGCCTCCCTCCCCGGCCGTGCACATCCGCCGGAGATGCAGGCAGAGTCACCGGCACGCACCTGGAGCTCGGTCGTCCGGACAATGACCTCCACGGCCCCATGGTAGAAGGGCGGCTCAATAGTGAGCGAGCAGAAGCTGTTGGGGGGAAGGGTGCGCGAGGTGAAGATCCGCCCGGCCGAGGCCGATGTCCTGCCCTCGGTGAGCACCGGGGGCGAGGCACCTCTCAGGACATCGACCTCCCCATGGCCAGAGCCGGAATGGCCCTGCTCCGGTGGCGCGCCGCCAGCGGGGGTGAAGCAGTCGAACAGGAAGTCATCCTCGCTGATCAGCCGGCAGACACCCGGATCATCGCCAGGCAGGGTGGGATTCACCGAGACACCGGCCTCGGCCAGAGCCGCCAGTCCGATGGGCGTGGTGCCGCCGGAGGTGTCGCAGAAGTACCCCTCGCGACAGGGGCGCGTGGTGTCACAGTATGTCGCTGGGGCGTGGGTGGGGGAAGTAGAGCATGAGGCGAGGTCAGAGGAGCTGCCAGCCATGGGAGTAGGATGGGGGGCGAGGGGGGGGGGGGGGGAAGAGGAACAAGGGCAACGGTGGGGGGCAGGGCAAAATAAAAGACATACGCAGGGCGGTGAAACGCAGGGAGAAGCCCGTGTCATTCAGGGACTTCTGGGGCGAGTGGTATTCCACATAGATGGCGGAGGTACGCAGATCGAGGCGACCCATGGGCGCGGTCAAGCCGGACTTGGGGTTGAACTCGTAGATAATGTCCGCAGGGTCGGTGCTGGCCACCAGGCCGCTGAAGACCACGAAGGTCGCTTCACCGGCCTGCGGGCATTCCGGTGGATGGGCGAGCAAGACGGAGAGGGAGAGGGAGAAGAGGCGGGGCGACAGCGGCGGCGATAGAAACGGCGACCGGTGGAAGGGTCAGCTCCGAGTTGCAGGCATGGGGGCGGGGGCAGGACATGATGAGATCCGTGAGATGTGTACCGGGTCCAGGCCGAAGGTCTCGAACTCCATGTGCAGGTCGTGCAGGTCCTCGCGGCTGATGGTGAAATTGCACGAGTATGAGGCGCTGGTGGTCCGGACGCGACCACTGTACCCGGTGAGGGCCAGTTCATGGGCATGCAGCCCCGGGCAGATGAGATCCTCGATGGTCGGTGGCCCGGAGGGAGGCGGCGGCATGAGGGCAGGCTCGTCTGGTGGGAGCAGGCGCCCCGGCGTCAGTGAGGGGCAGGGGTGAATGGGAGAGGGGCGGGGGGGGGGGGGGGGGGGGAAAGGGAGGGAGGGCGACCAATCGGGCGTGAGAAGGGCCTGCCTGCGCCAGGTGGGATGTTTTGTCCACGTACTCTGGGCAAAAGCCCGCGCCAGGGGATTCCGCGAGGGAACAATGGACGTCAGCTCCGATGCCGATGGCCGTGGCATGGACCGGGCGGTGGCCGAGACGGCCAGGAAGGCGGCCGCACCGGCGAGCCCCAGCAGGAGCCGACCGAGCAGCCTCACGCTGGTGCCAGGCATCGCGGACTCGAGAAGATGGGGGGGGGAGTCAAGAGGGGGGTGCCTGATGGAGCACAGAGAGGCCGGGGGCGAGGCAACGGGTGGGGTGGGGTGGGGGAGTGATTTGGAGGAGGAGGGGGGAGAGGACAAGGGCAGAGAGGGTGGAGGATGGGGAGGCAGGGGGGGGGGGGGAGGAAGGATGGTACATATCGGCAAGGCCCGACCATACTTGAAGAGGGACTTGGAAAAATGCCGTCCCGCCAGACGTGCGCGGTGGTCGCACCGGGAGGGGGGGGGGCGGGGCGGAATCTTCCCCGAGACTGCACCAGCCCCCGGTCCCGGCCAGCCTGAGTGGCGGATCTTGGACCGCGCGCGGCCCCACTCCTCCCCCCCCATATGCGGGGATGTGTTCCCCCGCGCATCTTGGCTTGGGCCGAGCGCGGAGAGGGCCTTTTCAGTGGGCTTTCCCCGGGGCGGGGACCTCGCGGACGGGGATCCCCGCCCCGTCCTTTGGCCTCCCCCATCCCCCCCCTCCCCCGCGGGGGAGCCCAGCGGGCGGGGTTGGGGGACACAGATCACCCGCGCCCGAGGGGCCCGCACACACGCATGCGCGGGCGATCTCCCCCGGCTAGCTGGCTGCGGGCCACACAAAAACAATAACAACAGGCGTGATAGTTCCGTGGATCGTCCGCGGTTGGCCCGTGCGGCGGCCCCGGCCGGCCCGCCGCACGCGGAGACCGCATTTCTCGACTCCCGACACGGCGAACAGCCAGCCCCGGACACCCGTTGCCTGGACATCCGGTCCCGGGCGTCTTGCCTGACGCATTGGCTTGCGGGGGAAGGGGGGGGGGGGGGGGGGGGGGGGGGGGAGCGACCCGCGTCTGCCCTTGCATGCCAGGGGGCCCCCCCGGCATACCCGCGCAGATCCCCCGGGGCAACTGGGGGCCCCCCCCCCCCCCCCCCCCCCCCCCCCAGCTGCTATTTGCCCCCTGTGCTCACACACTCGCCATCGGGGGAAGGGCGGCGAGCGGACCTCAATTAGACCCAGCCGGTCGATTGGCACGCGCGCGCGCGCGCACACACGCACACACACACCGGGGACACCCACCAGGGGCGAAATCCCGGCCTCTAGTCCTCAGAACCCAGGTGCTGATGTCGCCGCACCACCAATCCGGGCCTCGGGCAATTCCCCCGGGCGCGGCGGCACCCGGAGGCCGGCGCCTCGGCGCCTCCTCTCCCCCTTGCCTTTTTTCCCCCCCCCCCCCCCCCTCCCCCCCCCGCTTTCCCTCGCCCCTCTCGCCCCTCCCTCACCGACGCCTGGCACCAGCACCCCCTGGGCGCGACGCGCGTATGCTGCTGCCTTGCAACTCGACCCGCCACGGCCGTGGCATCTTGCCGTCTATATTTTGCTCAGGCGCCCGAGCCGCCAGCCAGGCCGACGACCTCCCCGTGCGATTCGTGGACAATGCGCGAGAGGACCGCCCGGTGCATACGGTCCAGCGAGGTTTCCAAATGTTCCGGATCCACCTCAATGTGGATGACGCCATCCAGGCAGGGGGTGCTGCGGGGGCACCACCCTCGGCAGCAGCCGCAGGGGGCATCGGTCGGGCTCGACAGCGAGCCGGCCGGCAGCTCGTCCTCCACATCCAGCAAGCAGTCCAACAGCATCTGGCGCTGGATGACCCGGGCCGCGTGGAGCTTCTGGTCCGACTCGCCAGGGCCCAGGCTCGCCTCGCCTCCCTGCTGGGCAAACAGCCGGACCAGGCGCTCGAGATCCGCGTCAGTCCGAGACCGGGACCGAGATCGGGCGTCGGCCATGGCACGCGCATGCCGACGCGGGCACTCCACCGTCAGGAGGAAGCGCACCAAGATCAACTGCGACGCCAGGGCATCCGGCTGCTCGTGCGGGTCATGCACCTCGAAGGAGAGTGGAGCCTCGGACCGCTCGGCCCCAGTGGGACCATCACCCGAGGCCGAGGCCGAGGCCGGCCCCAGCATCCCGCTGCCGGAGGGCCCTCCGACCGAGGGTGGCCTTGCTGCTGTTGCTGCTGCCGCTGCCGCCGCCGCCGCTGCTGCCGCCGCCAAAGCCACGGACGATCCGCCGGCCATCGGAGAGCCGTCTGCCACATCGAGGGGCTGGCAAATGTTCAAGCCTGAGGCAAAGGCCTCGGCCGGCGAGCACCCAGCCGGGTCCGGCCGGCCGCAGCCACAACACCGCCCGCCCGCACACGGGCGCAGAGATGCCGTCACCTCGGCCATGTCCAAGTGGTCGCTGCACCAGAAGCAGTCCGCCTGGCCGGACGAGCAGCAGGCCTCCGGCCGGAATTCCGCCCGGACTCGAGCCGGCACCCGCGGACCAATCCTTCCGACCCCCGGCAGCCGGGCCGGCAGCGTCCCGGGGTTCAAGTGGCGATGGCCAGGCAACTGCCCGCCCGGCCCCGGGACAGCGTACACCGCCGGCCGGACATGGTGCCCCTCAATGACAATGTTCTTCCCCTCGGCCAGGCACTTGCGAAGCTCGGCCACGATCCCCCGGTGGACAAGGGTGGCCTCGGCCTGGTACAGGCGCAGGACACCGGCACAGCCGCCCTCGGCCGGGCCGAGCCCCGGATCCCCGGCCAGGCGCCGGAGCGCCGCATCTTCGCTGTCGGGCAAGTCCTCCGCCAGGAAGCTCAGCACCTCCAGCATCAGGTCCGTATGCAGGACGGTCGGCAAGTTGAGGCGTTCCGACAGCTGGGTTGAGAGGGAGGTTTTGCCGGTGCTCGGGGCGCCGCCCACGAGCAAGACCAGCGGGATGCGCCGGCGGTAGAGCCTTGCTCAGCGGGGGGGGGGGGGGGGGGGGGGGGGGGGGGGGGGGGGGAGCGGAGGAGGACGGAGGGGATGCGGGGGAGGAGGAATGCGCGCGTGCGTGTCAGGGAGGAGCCGGGGGCGCTGACGGCGCAAAGAGGAAGGGGGAGAGGGCGTACATGATCATGCATCGGTACAGCTCTTGCAAGCAGGGGGAGCGATAGCCAAAGCGCGCCATCTCGGCAAAGAGAAGCGCCTCCAAATCGGCCTGGAGGAGAGGACCAGCGCGCCGGACCCGGCGAACACCGCGCTCCACGGCGCCGGAAATCCGGATCGCATGGTCGGGATTGATCTGCACCAGGAGGGGATGGCCAGGTCAGTGCTGGCCGTGGGGAGAGCCGGGCGAGGAGAGCGGGAGACAGAAAGTGCTGAGGCTGGGTGTCGACCACCGGGCGCACCTGGATCGATGTCAAGATCCGCGCGAGGATGAAGCGCGAGAGGACATAGTTCTTTTCCAGCATGCGGGAAGAACGCCGTGTCTCCATCGGCCTGGGGGGGG